GGGGGGGGGGGGGGGGGCACTTTTTCGGTAGTTCCCACCCCATTTGCCAGCATGACATCACTTCCGACTTCCTGTGACTCGTGACTCCGGCTTCCTGTCCTGCCTCACTCGTGACTCGCCTCAGGCTGGGTAGAGACCAGGATCTAGGCCTGGGCAGAAACCGAATAAATTATTCGAATAACCGAATATGAGCCCAAAACTAGGTCTCCGGTTCATTTTCCCCCAAAACTAGGTACCTGTTTCTAAACTAGGTACCTAGATCTAGTTTCTGATTCGTTTTTTCGCTAGTAATTCGCTTTGAGAAGTTGAAGAGTGACGTGCCCTTGGCGTTGCACGGAGGATGTGGGACGGAGAAAAAAGGAAGGGGTTGGCGGGGAGAGGGGGGACTTCAAAGGGGCCGAAAGACTTGTCGTTCTGAGCCGCGATCTCTGACTACGTCACACGCAACTCTACACGCAACAGAGTTGCGGAGTGACTATCATAACTGATATTAACCCCTTGTAACTCAGTAGCCTGCAATAACTTCAATTTATCTTGTCTAACAAAAGTTTCTTTATTACCAACTTAAGCCCCCCCCCCCTCTTTCCAATCACACACACACAAACAGACACACCTCCCCCCCCCCCCTAAAAAAAGCACTTCATCAAAGCCATTTTAACATTCCATTGTTTTTTTGTTTTTTCATTGTTCAATGTTATTGTTGACCTGAGAACCGCGTTTGTCAAAAAGCCTTTGTCGTCAAGTTTTAAGTATGTTTGGAAATGAAATTAATATAATATGGCAAAGAAACAGCTCCCAAACTTCGTGTTTCACATTCAAATTTTTAGTAGGCCAAACAAAAGTTTCCGATAAAGTCGGAGGTAAAGGTAAAAATCATTAGAACAAATGAATAATTCCTACTTTGACCAACAGATGTGTGAAAGGCAGTTTTGTTAGTCAGAAACTCATGTTTTATCTGTGGTGAGAAGGAGAAGTATGCCAAAACGGTTATGACGTCAAAAGGAATAAGAAGCGAGTTCAATTTTATTCGTTTTCAAACCGAGTCAGCTGATGAATCGTTTTCAAACCGAGTCAGCTAATGAATCGTTTTCAAACCAAGTCAGCTAATGAATCGCTTTGAAACCGAGTCAGCTAATGAATCGGTTTCAAACCGAGTCAGCTAATGAGTCGTTTTGGAATGGAGTTAGTTCACTCGGTGCTGAGGGGGACGACGTATCATGACTACCCTTTGACAGTCCGCAATTACACGATGTACAACGAACAGCAGTGCCAAATTCAGTTTTATGCTCAAGTGAATATTTTCCAGAAGTGATTTGTTCCCCTCTTGATCTTAATAGATCACGTTTGCCACTTCTAGACTACAGCAAAATGACTGCAAGAACTAGATTCTATTTCCTGGAATCAGATGTTATATTAAATAGCATTGATAGTAGATCTAGTTTTCTTTGGAAAGGAGTTTATCAGTTGGTTGGACCAGAAACATGATACCACCGCATATTAAAACAAAGAAAGAAAATCCGTTTTAAAAAGGAGGTTGCTAAATTGATAATAGAGTAAGGTCAGTCAGTGAACACGTGGGGGGAAATTCAACAATAACCAGCCCCCACCCCCGCGCGCAAAACAATTAATTTAACCGGTTATTCGGATTTTTAGAGAACCAGGTACCTAGTTATTCGGTTTTTTGAAAAACGAATAATGCCCAGGCTTACCGGGATCACTTCTGGCAAAATGGCGTTAAATTGTGCAGGAGCCGAGTTTTTATTTTATGATGAATTTGAGGCCGGCCTGAAAAGTTATAGCGCTTCTAATAAATGTTTATTTGTCAAGAGGTCATCAGAAGCAAATAAAGATGGCTCGTTAGCGTGTGTCGGGGTCCGATGGGCGGCCTGCACACGTGTGTGCATGTCGGGGAGGGGGGGCACTATCGGTCTGGGTGTTGAACGTCGCATACGCGTCAGTCCCCCCCCGCAACTGATCATTAGTACAATAATAAGGCTAGTCTTGACGTAGATCTACGTATGAATTGTGCGCTGGTCTATGGAATCAAAAGTTGCCGTATGCTCAGTTCTACACAGCAACACAACTTTTTCTTGGTAAACAATCAAGATGACACAGGCTTGTGTATTTGAACGAATCAGTCTTTTTTTTTTTTTACACAGCTCATAATATGCAGGTGCCAGGTGGTCTGCTAATCTTCAATTTTACCTTTTTCTACAACAAAGAAAGTGGGAAACATGGGGGGTGGGGGGGGGGTATCAATGAGGCGGCGGGCATTGGATCGGCAGAAAAGGTGTGGGGGAAACTAAAAAATGGCGGAAAATTGGAAGCACTGAACGATAGATCTATAGAACGAATACACTTCCTTTTTTTCTGGACCCGGGTCTGAATAACATTTTTCCATATTCGGACTCGAGTCCGAATAATGACGGCCTATATTTTATCTATGGTAATTGTCTAACAACTTTATTTATTTATTTCCATCGTCCATTTGCTTATTCAAAATAATGATTCTGTTTTTTTAAACGAACAAAATTGATTTTGTGTCTAAAATCCTGTCTAGTCATATAGTATAGCTTGCTGTTTAACATATTTCTTGTTGTTGTAATTTTAGATCAATCTAACTGATATGATATGTTGCGACTTCAGGTGTTTTCTTGTCGTATCTCCATTTTTGTAAACAGTGAAAATGTGACTCCTTCTTATGCTCACTCTTTGTTATGAACTTGCGTCAATAGTTGTGAACATGTTTCTCCTTGCGCCCAACATAATTCTAAATTGGAGGAATTGGGGCAGTTTGTGTCTGAAAACCTATCGTCTGTATCAATGGAAGTGGTAAAGTTGTGGGAATTTTTTTCCAAGACAAACAGATGAGAGATCTGCGCCGACAAATTATTAGTAATAGACAGGCGATGCGATGCCGGAGAATAGCTTCTGATCTATTGACCGGCGCGACGCCGGAGAATAGCCACTTACTTAATGTTTTGCAGTTGTTAGGTTTGATATCTTAGCTTGCCGCGAATCAAACGTATAGATCTAGATGTGGGTCAGGCTCAAATAAGGGGGGTGGGAACTGCCGAAAAAGCACCGAGAGGGGGGGGGGGAGAAAAAAATAGAGATCTCTAGATCTATGGGGAGAGAGAGGAGTTCCCTAGATCATTAGTCTACTTCCGTGCAAAACAATATCATTCAATATGGTGACCGGTGTAAATCTAGATCTTGTTCAGCTCGATTCGAAAAGTGAAATTTTATAGCTGGGGCATCTTTGTAGAGGACCAAAATTAGTTTACTTTTGTTCTATAACATCATTTTTCTCTTTGTTTTTGTCAATTTGATCATCCACACCAATAGACAGTATTCTGAAATTAGGAAAAACAGTTCTTGTTTCACACTGGATGGGAATAGCCAACGATGGCAGCCCCAATCACACCAAACAATAACACCTGTCTTAGACGACCACCTTTGTGACTATTACGTTTTGGCCCCTGGCATTGTGGGCTAGCCGTAATAATCCAATCACCTGTCGTTGTTGTTAGGTAGTCCCTCCAACCGATCATGTTGCGTTGGCCCCTCCCACTGTTGACCTTTTGGTAACAAATTTTCAGCTGCTGGTGAGGTAAGCCTGTGGTCCCTCAGAACCCATAACCCCCGCCAAGAACTCATACACAAATCGTAAGTGAGATGAGTGGTCACTGTTTACCCAGTCTGTAACAAAGTAACAATAGACGTCAACATGAACTTGTGACAGAAGCGTCACTTGTGCTCCGATTGGTGGCGGCCCATATAGTTGTTTTACCAATGCACTCAGTCCTCCTTATCGGACACATTTCGTTTTATTGTCACCCTTGCACCAAAGCAACAATAAAAAAAACCCCCCAAAAAACAACAATAACTATAACAACAACAACAACAATAGGGCTACCTTCGGTTGGAACCTCAGAAAGAAATGGTTTGTTTTCTTCATCTTGATCAGTCCTGCCTTAGATGGCCACTTTTCTCCTTGACAATGAGTGGCCATCTGACACAGGTTCGACTGTACTGAAAAAGGATAAATAAGGACCTCAGACACTGACTTTTTTTCAGTCTTAATGCCCTTTCCCCTTACCTTAGAGTATTTACACAAACTTTAACAGGGGTCGGATGAATGTAGAAAAGATAAGTGGAGGGTTATTAGCCTTTATTTATGTATTTAAGTAGTAAATTGGAGAAGTTTCACAATTTATACCGGGTATTTTAAAGTATCCGTATTGTAAATGTAAATGATATTGGGAAGTCATTTTTAGACCACTTACATTCATTTAATTTAAATTATTAAGAAAAGTAAGCTACTTACTTCAAAACTTCATTTACTGTTATGTAAAGGGCTAAGCGCATAGAGCATTGCATAAGTGGATATGCGCTATATAAATGCAATCCATTTATTTATTATGAAGCCCAAAACCACCGTAGTCCATTCCTGTCTTGACTTTAGTAAAAATGACTTTTTCTTCTTCATTATGCCTCTGTCAAAAAAGTTACAGTTCAGTCATCAAAAATAATCGGACGTGGATTATTATTGTCAGTTGTGGCTAGAAATCGACGCTAGTGCATTGTATGAATTTATAGCACTGCAAGAATGGAAATGGCCCAGTTTGTGCTTTTCTTCCTGTTAGTATTGAACTTTTGTTGGGTGGCAATATTTTATAAATGTCTGTCAGTGTTTTACTAATGTGAGGATGGTAAGTTGGGTTTTTAGTTACTGTTTCTACCACTACACATGTAGTTATTAGACCCCTCCCCCACCATGCTTGTGAAATAAAATTACAAATCTGTGAAACTGGTACCATTGTTATTGTACATTTTAAGCTCCTTATTTGTCAATTTCAGTACACAGGCTATCAAGCTGTAATTAAATCATGAACTGCTTTTAAAAGTAAAACCCTATGTGTGTTTCTGTTATTTTTCTTTTCATCATAATACTTTAAGTAAAATGTGCCCTTTCCTGTGCATATGGCCTCTATTCTCAATCTGGCTTGGCACACCTGGCAACATAATGATAAGTCATTAGTCTTTGCCTGGACAGAATGTTAAATGATTGATGTCTTGTTTGTAGGACTGCTGATATCAAGACCAAGAAGCAACACATCCCGAAAGTTGACAGAACACCCACAGAGCCACCGCCTATAGTGGTTGCTATCATTGGTCCTCCGAAAGTCGGAAAGTCTACTCTGTTGAAATGCCTCATAAAGAATTACACAAAGCAAAAGCTGACAGATATTCAAGGTCCAGTCACAGTGGTAGCCGGTAAGTTGTACTTTCTTATCAGTGATGAATTTATGCTAGAAAAATATTACCCTGTTAATTTAAAAGAAGTAGGGTCTGCACATAGACCATTAAATAATACTTTAAAAATCTGCTCAGCCTATACGGTGTGAATTAGAGTGTTTCTGCGGGTTACTTCCTTTCATAATGCATCTTTTTAAAAAAAATATCTTTAATGTCTTTTATAGTCAAAGTCACTTGTCTCATTTTTATTTGTCTTGTTGGAAATACTTTTGCATTGACAAACAATTAAGAATCAAATCATGATTGTGTGTGTACTTTTGATGCAAATAAAACAGTTATTAGTAGATTCGGAGAAGCTAAAAAAAAGGGGGTTTATGTGTGATGTATTACAGTTTCTTAAATTAAATGTCAAAAGTCTGGAAAGCTAGCAACATCTCACTGCACACCAAGATTCGACTCTTTAATTCCAATGTCAATTCTGTGCTTCCCTACGGCTGCAAAACCTGGAAGACAACAAAGACAGTGCTGAATAAAGTCCAGACTTTCATCAAGATGTATGAGGGGTATCCTAAGAATTAAGTGGCAGGATAGAATAAGAAATGAAGAGGACAGGACAAAAGGATATAGAAGTAGAAATAGGATTTTAAGAAAGTGGCGTTGGATGGGACACACCTTCAGAAAGCCCAGCGGAAACATCACATGACAGTCACTGCAGTGGAACCCTCGGGGAGCACGAGGCAGGGGTTGGCCACGGGAAACATGGAGATGTGTGGAAAGGGACATGAGATAGATGAAGCTCACTTGGAACGAGCTAGAAAGGATGGCCCAGGACAGAGATAATGGACGGAGCTTGTATGTGGCCTATACCCTGCCAGGGGTGAAAGGCACTTATGATGATGATAATAGCATGTTCTTTTGTTAATCCCATCTTTAAACCATAGCAGGAACTTTTTAAAGGTAGGTGTTTTCTAAAGTCTTTATTTTGTGACATTGTAACAGATTTTCCAAGCACGCAGATTATAAACTATTTTTTGTTGTTGTTTTCAGGTAAGAATCGGCGTATAACTTTCATTGAGTGCAATAATGACATCAACTGCATGATCGATGTGGGGAAAATTGCAGACTTGGTAAGAAACTTTTTGGAATAAATCTATGAATGTATAGCTGTGTGACTTCTTTATTACTGTTAGATGTTTAAAGTTTTTTATGTTTGGGAGGGTTTGTTTGTTGTTGGTGTTGGGGTTTTTTTTTGGTCTTTCTAGTTGTGTCTATTTCACTTTTTAATTTATTTTACGAGAATATTGTTGTCTTGTATTTCACAGCACTCTCATTTACATAGTACAACAAAACTTGTATACATTTTTTTCATTTCCTTGTTGTTCATGTCTATTTTGTCTGACCACCAATTTCAGGGACGTACACAGTGGCATGTTACTTTCGGAAACAATACGTGTTAAAAAAATAATCTCTTTAATTTTAGACATGGTGTGTTGTATTGAAGTAGTGTTAAAGCCATTTGACTTGACTGAGTTTTGAAATCTGTTCATGCAGAACAACCAAGTATTACTGACATAATGAATAATGTGCATATTGTTGTTGTTTTTTTAGGCCCTCTTAATGGTGGATGCCAAGCAAGGATTTGAGATGGAAGTGTTTGAATTTTTCAACATCTGCCAGGCAACTGGGTTTCCAAGGTGTATGGGAGTTCTAAATCATTTAGATCTTTTCAAAGACAGCAAGGGGATGAGGAAGAGAAAAAAGCAGTTGAAAAACAGATTTGAGGTGGAGCTGTACAAGGTATGTTCTTTGCAAACACAATTTGTATCTTAATGACGATTTTCTAATGGGATGTTTTGTTTGAATGTATAGCTTGAAAAAATAATTTTTTTTACATTATAATGAATCAGCTTGTTTTAGAGAAGTGTGATTGATTGTAGTAGAATAGAACAACTAGTTTTCAAACAGATTTCGATGTTGAAGGTGTCATTGCTCATTTGAAATGTTCCCATTTCAATAAAATGGTATTGTTTGCTCACCCTATTAAGTTACCTTAAAAGTATAAGAACCTGAAAATAAAAGATGTACAGTACATTCTTACTGTAAAACTTCAGTATAACATACTCCCTTTTGACCCAAGATTTTGCCCCCCCCCCCCCCCCGAAATGATGGTTGTCGAGACACGATGGAATCAGGTGCTCATCGATTAAAATTTTTGGACATGTGGAGTAAGTTATTGGTACAATTTCTAAAACTTTTTCATTTGCCTTGCTTTTGATGAAAATAATAGTCATCTTTCTTAAATAGAAGTCGAGGTACCTCCCATTGAAGAAGGTGGTGGTTGCCTGGTGTCAGGCAAAATGAATGAGAAAATGGCCGCCAAAGTCTGACCCAGGTAGGAGTGGGCACCTGGCTATCGATGGTGTTTCAGCATTTAATTGGCTGCTTGCACCGTATGCTTTATAGGAAGCTGAAGATGTTTCTGGGTGTTTTAGTGTTTGCTAGCTGTAAAGCAAATAGAGCATGCTGTAGACCATGGATATGCACTATACCAATGTTTTTATTATTATTAACAAATGGTCTGGATAAGTTTGCATGTCTTTAGTTTAGTATATCGTCGCTCTCTCCTTTCTTTCAGGGTGCACGTCTGTTCTATTTGTCTATGTTGGTGAATGGAGAATACCTTCAGAATGAAGTCCACAACTTGTGTAGATTCATATCTGTGATGAAGATGATTCCTCTTACGTGGCGGGCTACTCATCCTTATGTTGTTGCTGACAGGTACATTGATAATTTTTTGCTTTTTGTCTTTGGGCACAAGAAAATTACATTACAATGAAAAAGAATTCTTGAAAAAATATATGTGGACCCTTCAAATCTTAGGGATCTTATTACGCACAGTTCTGAAGGTCAGGGTAAAAAAAAAATTATTTGATTGCATTTAAAACAGATTGAGTTTCTGAATTTAAAAGATACGCAAATAAATGTGTTTAATCCCCTTCCGTGCAGCTTATTTTCAGGGTTATGCATTTGTTGGAAATTTTTGATGATATCAACAGGCAGGAGGAAGGTAAGGTTTTGTTAAGTAATTTTTTGTGTGTGTTTGATCATTTTTCTATTTTAGTGTTGTACTTACTTTTTAAAAATTGATGTGACTCTGTGTGAAGCTAAAATTAGCCTATTTTCATTTGGTTTCAGAATGGAGGATATCACAAACCCTGAGCACATAAGGAAGAACCCAAAGTGTGACCGCACTGTCAGTTTGTATGGATTTGTCAGAGGGACACACATGAAGTCAAAGTCAATGGTACATATAGCAGGTGAGGGTAAACGATTGGCGGTTAGTACTCGACATGTCCCAACTGGGCTTGTTCACTTAGTTTGTTTTTGTGTTAGACTTGTGTATGTGTACATAGTTTTTTTTCCTCACCGGAGTTTGGACTCGTCATACTGCTTTCCCTGAGACATCACAATGCTATTTTTAGGGGTCATGGTGAACTTCAAGTGCTGAGTGAATTGTCATGTTTTTGTTGATCATTTGATTCACTTCATATTTGAGGTGCCAAAGGAAATTTAGGTGTAGCACCTTTATCATAAACGCTGATGGACTTGAGTTCCAACATTTCATTTTTGACACACTTGACTACTTTTTTTTTGTTTCAGGTTGTGGAGACTACTATATTAGGAATATGACTTTCTTGCCTGATCCATGTCCAACACCTACCATGGAGAAGAGGCGGTCCCTGAATGTGAAAGAGCGTGTGGTCTATGCCCCCATGTCTGGAGTTGGAGGAATCGTCTATGACAAAGATGCTGTGTACATTGATGTCCACGCTAAACAAGTGGCAGAAGAGGTTTGTGGTTCATGTGTCTGTAGATTTTGCTGCTCTCACTCTTTGACTGAGTTGATGGGGAAGCCTTTTAAATCATAAATACCAGTAGCTTCTTAAGAATTATTCTTGAAACATGATAGGATAATTTTCTCCTGAAATAATGCTCTTTATTCTGATGCCGTTGGGAGGGGGGTGGGTTATAATAAAATAAAATGTCTGTTTGCAGAAAATGTTTTATTGTTTTGTAATGATACTATTTAAATAGTAATTTTATGGGGAGGGGTGAGGGTGTCACCATTTATGTGGAGCGTGAGCTGATCTATGTGTTAAAAGGATTGAGCAGTTTTTATGCTGATGTGAATTACAAATTAATGCATAGAACTATTTCAAAGGATTGGGGCAGTCGGTTTTCTTTTGCTTTCATAATTATCCAGTATACAGTGATAGATCCTTGTTATAGCAGATCTGGGATCCTTTTTATCGTTGTATGTTTTTTATATTAAAATATTTAGATGATATTGTTCATCCGAATGGTAGACTTTGATGTTTTCAGTAATTTATACCTATTTTTAAAAAAAATTTCCGTCCTGATGATAGCATGGATGCATTCTTTGATTTATTTGTTCCTTTATTTTAAACATGTCGTTTTTTACTTCAGGAAAAGCCCACAGGTCTTGTTGCTGCCCTCATGGGAAGTGTCAAACCTGTTGACGAGAAGGTGAAGGAAAGTCAGATCTCTATTTTCAAAGGTGGTCCTGCGATATCTGGTGAAGAATTCTCCCGAGTCAGGTTAGTTTGGACTAAAATGAACTTTTTCTTTGTGGCGTTAATGTACAAACAAGATAGCTGGAAATTCTTGTTTTAAGAATGTATCGATAGATTTTTTAATGTGAATTATTTCGTGCTTTTTTGAGAGAATTTCTTTTGCTTTACACATAAACTGTATGCCATTCCACAAAATGTTTGCATATATACGTGTGTGACATAACTGTACTACTTGTGGCTTGTGATATGAGAGTAATCAATCCTTACTCTGAAGTGAAGGCCAGACCGATTTTGGCAAATAGGTTGTTTTTTGTGTGTGTATTTCATTTTCTAGGAAAAATATGATTCTTCATCGATTGGGTCAGCATGTGGTGATATTTCTCTTATGTCCCTGTTCACTTCTTGTCTTGTCTGTCACAGCGTTTGTGAGTGTCGCTCAATGTGTTGTGTAGCTGTGCTTTGCCTGTTCAGCAATGTATTATTATTAGTCTCTGTCTGCCACTCAAATGATAAAACAATGTTTATAGTATGACTTATTCGCTTTGATTTACAACACAACAGCAGTTTGAGGTCTCCATAAGGCCTTTCTTGCTATGGCCATATATACATGTTGTGACGTTTTTTGCAGACACAATTCGGGAAGTGATGAAGAATCTGATGATGATGAAATGGAGGACGATGCTGATTCTGGAATGGAAGCAGAGGACCAAGAAGAGGGAGATGATGATGAAGGCATGGAAGAGGAAGATAGTGATGAAGAGGTTTGTTGTTGTTACATATTAAATTTATAGATTGATGAAAACGTTTTCATGTCATCAAATCTGTAGGCCATGACAAATAAAAGGGATCTCAAGATTTGAGATACACATATGACATTTCTGGCAGCCATCTTGGCATTTGTTGAGACTTATCATTTAAGCACATTCTGGGCTGGGATTTACAAGTTTATCCTAAGGAAAATTGTGGAGAGTTCAAGGAGGGCTTGGGCAGGTGGAAAAGGCCCAAAGTAAGACTTACGGATGCCACAGTCAGTATGTTATATAATTCTACTGGGACTCTAGAGTCTAGATTCTTTTTCCCTTTTGGGAGAAGTTTGATGAAAAAACTCCTATTTTTTGGTCATGGGGTGGTTGGCGGGTCTTTGTCAGTGTCAAGTTATCCCTCCTTCCCTCCGATCACCTAAACAAAAATAAGCTCCTCGTGTTTATCTATTATACTTTGAAGGGCATATCAGGGTAAATTAATTTTGCAGTTATTGAATTTGTGCATGTTTTAAATTGTTTCTGCTGTGCAGAGCGAGAGCCCCAGTAAAAAGAAAAGGCGCACAATTCGAATGGATGAGGAAACTGATGACTTGGATCAGCTGGAAGAAAATAGTGATGAGGAAGAAGGTGACGATGAAAGTGGTAAGTATTTTACTCAGAAATTTATTCTTCAGATTGTTTGCTCATCCGCTAAAACAAATTGTAAGCAGTAGATATTAGTATATGTTTGTGTGTTGTTTATAAAGTAATTTTATATTTTTGAATAGATCTTTGTTCTTGAGAATTGGGATTTGCTTTGGTTAGGATTTTTAAAAAGGTTATAATACTTGACGTACACAAGTTCTTCTCATTTAAGTTTTGAAAATTTACAATTTCTCTGCCTATGCAATTGGGTCATTTGAGTCCCGTCGGCATCTGTAGTGTAATGGTTAGCAGCAAAGATATATAATCTTCTGTAGTTTCAGGGGCAGCAGAAAGTTTCTCTGGTTTTCTTTAGTCTTTTCACTCATTTTCTCTTCGGTCCTCTTCTTCATATGTCTGCTCTTTCTATATCAAAAGTCGTAGACAGGCAGGGTGGAAGCTGCCCTTCAATCTACATTGTCTCCTTGCAATCTCCATCTCAAATGTCAAGATAGTTTTGTTTACTTTTCTGAGAGGGGTACACTTCAATTGTCTATGAGATAGATATAAGCAGACCTGCCACTCATCCCGATTTAGTTGGGATATCCCAATTTTTTTTCTCCAAAACTCAAGCATCTCGATTTTCCCGATTTCGATCGCGTTTATCCCGATTTTTTGTTCCAGTCTACTGTTGCGCCGGATTTTTCTAAAAACTTACTCTGCCTTTTTCTCTATCGCGGGAAGCACCCATTGAGCTTTTTGTCAGTAGGAACTCGGAGCATTTTTTTCCAAAATATCAATACCGGATTTAGTAGTTGACTCGCCCCAGGTTGTGTTTGATCTTTGCTCACACTCAGAATTTTCCAATGATAGACTGATAACTGTTTCAAATACGACATACAAATAATCTATACGATTCGTAGTTCTGCTGTTACTTTCAAAACAAGCCTCGTCCGAGGTCTAGTAACCGTGCATTCGCATCAAACACTTGGACGAGCGACAGTTGTTCTAACCCTTACATAACTGACTGCGCTGACTAGACAAACACTCGGCCATTGTCGTCTCTTTGGTTTGAACGCATATGGAGGATAAATAGATTTGTTGGTACATTTGGTCGGTCCGCCGTTGTCGTTAGCCTAGAACGACTGCCGCTTGTCCGGGTGTTTGGGTACACATTGGGGAGTCGGGTCGGGTCTGTTTGCTAGCCAGATTGAGGACACAAAGCGGCTATCGTGGCACAAACCGATTGCGCCCGACCCATCACCTAAAAAAAGATAAACGCGTTTATTTTCAGTCAACTAGTCAGGCTATTATCCCGATCTGAACCGACCCGGTCCCATCCGCAATGGGCACCTGGTATAAGCCGGGCCCGTCGGTAAAACTTGTTTCAATAGCGCGTTCGTATAATGTGACATGGCTTCAGCGTGTGAGTTCAGCATGTGTCAGGGACCATCCGTTGACAGGGTAAACCTAAGTTCATGCACACTGGTTGAAGCGTCTTTTGGGCCTTATTGGGGGTTTTTGGGGGGGGGTTAGAGACTTGGGCAAGGAGTGCTTGACGTGATGCTTCAGGATTTTTTTTAAAATGCTGATAAAATACACACAAAGGGCATATTTTTACGGACACCTCGGAAAAATTTGTAAGTCAGTCTAGCAGTCACCTTGGTGATTTGCTGTTGATCCCAATTTTGTTTTTTTACCAAATCCAGATTTTTTTTTGCCCCTGAGATCCTGATTTTAAGATTTCCATAGAGTGGCAGGTCTGTATAAGTACTTTTAATACCAAAGAGACTAATAGGAAAAGAAAGACGTCGTCATAATCAGACAGCCACCGGAACAATCAGTATGGGTACCTTGCAGGCTTTGGTGGTGGGGGGAACTGAGCACTTATGGACCTGTCCGGTGTGCAATGACATTGATGCCCAGGACAGGTAAAACAGAGACTTATAACACATGTTTTGATATATTTGTACCTGCATCTTTTTGTGCTATTTGCAGAATCATTTCAATGGAAGCAGAAAATGTTTGAAAAGGCAGCAGTCAAACACACCAAACGAAAAAACTACTTCAGCCTTGTGTATGGTGATGGTAAGTTTTCATTAGAATAATTAAATAACCTTGTTACACCTACCTTAATTCACTAACAGGCATGCATGAGTAATGTTTTGTGGTTATAATATGATCTTTGTTGATGATACTGGTCTCGTGCACTGTATACCAAGGCTTTTTCGTTCACATCTTGAAATATTGTTGGTTTTTTGGGTTGTTTTTTTTTAAGAAGTTCGCAAAATGTTAAAAGGGGTGCGCTACTGCATTGGATTACAGGACACTGGGTGACTCAAATTGCGAATTCATACTATACGGTTCTGAAAATCGAAATGGATGAAAAGCAAAAAAAAGTTTGAAAAAAACATGGCATACAGTGGTAATTGAAAGATTACAGTATGGTAATATTACACATATATTATTTGTTTGTTCCTTTCTGCTAACATATTTGTAAGAAATTCATATGGGTTTGTTTTTCTATCTAATATTTTCAAATTTAGTGTTGTAGGGGTTCTCTCGTGGCCTTAGGGGTTAAGGTGTACGCCTCTCATTCAATAGGTCCTGGGTTCGGATCTGGATAGCGACTGAAATTTTTCTTCTCTAGACACTTACCAACACACAAGCGCCCCCCCCCCGAAAAAAAAAGGTATTGTAATCCAATGTTACTGGACTGATTTTGGGGAAATGGGATTAATTAAGTTTTTAAAAAATAGTTGTTGCTGACTATACTTGTGCTGTATACACTCTTCACCAGTTTTTGTCTATTTACAAATTGTTGCTCTTTTTCCTAGAAGAAGCAAACAACTCAGAGGATGAGCACACAGATGAGGATATTGGGGGACTGTTCAAGGTGCTGAAGAAGAAAGCTGCGGGCATTGCAGAAGAGAAGAAGGCAATCAACAAGAAAGACTGTAGTGCCAGTGGTCCCACTGTTGAAAGTTCCCTGGATTTAGAGGAGGTAGTTTTTGTTCTTCAGATTCTTTCATTTGGTTTTAGTTGATTAGGGACCTGCAATTTTGGTAGACTCACCTATGCTTTTGTTTAGAAGCTAGAAGCAGACTACTACACCAATGACTTTTGAGAAAGTGAAAAATTAATTTCTTTGAGAAATCAAATTTACATGTACAATATTTATGCCATTTATTGGGAGTTTTATTTTGGGCCGCAGTAGGAATGTTTGAATTTTCCGTTGGTTTTATTTTTCCTTTAGAATTAGAGTAAAAAGTGGCCAGGTCCCTAAAAAGTTTTTTGCTTTATTGGACCGCTAAAGATTTGTTTGATAATACTGAAGTTCTACCATAATTAATGCAATATTTGTTGTCTATTTATGTAATTTACAGCTTGGTGAAGAAATCCAAGATGCGTTTGTTACTGGAACCTGGGATGCCAGTGAAGATGCCAAAACTCGCCTAGAAGAAGACGGTGAGTCAAAAGCTGCAACACTTTACACTCAAATCTTTTATATCTGGGCAGTACTTGTCATTGCAGAATATGACCCATCGGAAATTTAGTCCTAAAACAGATTAACTCTTTATTTCTGGCAGGTCACTTCCATCAGTACTCTGTTGAAACCACTGTGCTAGTAAGTGGTTGGCAGAGGCTGTGGCCCATTCCTTTACGAAAACTTTGAAGTGAAATTGCTTTTCGGCAATTGCAGAAAACATGTCTCTTTTATTGGGAGTTCATTCATCAGATGAACTATCAAATTTTTTAATGACCACTTTAGTGACATATATGTCATTTTTAGATTTTGTATCAAAACAGGGCTCCAGCAGAGATAAAGAGTTACAGACAATTTCTTTTGAAAATGAATTTTGTCTTTCAGTTTTGTGCTTTTATATGCAAAAGAAAGGTGGCCCCAAATTCTCCAGCATGGAGCTGGAGACACTGGATCTTGCCTTTCTCCTATTAAAAATCTGTGTGTATTGCTGAGGAGATGAAAACACCTATGAGTTATATTATTGGTTTTGGGGTCTCGAAGGAAGTAACAAGAATGGGATCCTCAGCTTTCACGCTGCCTTGAGGTACATGACATAGCGGAGACATCTTACCCTTAGTAAGGAAGTTTCATGTGTCGCTCTACAATTTCAATGTTGATGCCACTGAATGAAGGCATGGATGTTATTATGCACTTTGGTAGAAATGAATTACACATTTCAGTTGGACTTGTTAGGATAAGGAAGACATTTTCCAACATATCCATATTGCTCCTGCTAGCTTGTCCTTTGTGCTGGTTTATAAAATGCAAAATTAAAAAAATGTAGTTTAGTTATAAAAATTTTTTTTCATATTGATTTTTCTTTTCTCCTTCAAAGATGAACTGTATGGTGATTTTGAGGACTTGGAAACTGGTGAAAAGTACACAGCTGACCCAGCCCTTGAAATGGATGAGGATGAGAATGATTCTCTAGATCAGACTAACAGTAATGAAGGTGAAGAAAATGGAGAGGATGGAGATACAGGTATGAAACCCTTTCATTTCAATTATATTCTTAGCTTAGATCATGGATTGTAGAGGACAACTTGTTTAAAAATTGAAAAAGTACTCTATAACATGTTTCATAATCAGCTTTTAGTAGTTACATTTTCAGTTAGTCTGTGCCAAATGTCTGAGCTGTATATAAACATTTTTAAAAAGTTATTACATGTGTGTCCAACAGAATAGATGTCAGAAGACCGATAAAATCGGAAATCTCCAATTCTCTTATCCCCCTGTTGAAGAATCCCAGTCAGATTTGATTAACTTCCAATTTTTTTTTTCTTGAATTCCATTTTCATTTGGTCATATTTTCCTTATTGTAAATGATGTGAAAAGACACATTTGTATTTGTAGCATATGTTTCTTCGCAAGGTTCGTTTTTTTTTAGTTACTTATTCTCAATCTGTTGGGGTTCTGGAGACTTCAATATATTTTTTCCCAGGCTTTAATTTATTGAGAGGGTTTGGCGGAAAACTTGTCTATTTCTGGTGTTGAGGAGAGTTGACAGGATTGAGTCAGTCCTGTAGACCTAGACCTTGATCCACGGACTGCCATAACAGTAAACTGATGACAAATTGTCATGTCAGTGGTTATTTTCCTCAATACGGTAATACTTTTTGTTCTATTTATTGATCACTTAGTATTTTGTCTCTGTTCCTCACCCTTGGATGAACGTCTTCTTTGATAGAGGCATGTTTTTATATGCTCAATGCCCTTTAGTGCCATGCTGATTGTCTTGGTTCTCATATAGGTCATTGTTATATTTGTTACACCACATATAACATTTTTCCCAACAGAGCCTGCTGAGGAGGAATCGAGACCCAAAACTAAGGCAGAGATGACAGCTCATGAGCGACGCCTTGCCAAAAAGAGAAAAATTAAAGAAGTCTTTGATAATGAATATGACATGAAGGGGGACAATGAGTTTTATGAATCATGGAGGGCTGAGACAGCTGAACAGGCTACGGTAAGTCTCTAATGTCCCTTTTGTAAAAACATCTTCACCATCCTAGACTTGCCAGGTACTCCTGAAATAATCAATTTTATCTGGATTTCTTTTTATTTCCCCCTTTAGAAAGATCGTGGTCATTTTTGCGTAATTTTCTATTTTCACATAACTAGGTCCGCATGGGATTGACCCTAATATATGTGGAAATACACTCTGTTATGGCAGGCTACATCTACAAGAGTATTGATTATTTTCCGTAATTGATTCACTTCTTCTCAAATAGCTTCAAATAATATTTATATTTGCTCCTTGAGGCACGTCTTCACTGTTATGTACCCTTAGAAAATGAATGGCCTTGAAAATTTTGAAGCCAATTTAGCAGTCACCTAGTCTGTCAAAGGAATTTTCCAAAGGAAATAATAGTATTACCCTTCACTTCATCATAAATTCATTCTTCAAACTTTTGTATGCTCCAGTTTTTTGTATTTTCTTTGTTAGAGTTTATATATTTAGCACTTTTTGACATGATAGTTTCTTGACATTTTTTGTTAAAGTAGAATTTCCTTTCTTGATTCGCAGCTGAACAAGTCAGAGTTTGAAGAACTGCCTGAAGAGCAACGAGTTCAGTACGAGGGTTTCAGGCCAGGCATGTACGTGCGCATTGAGTTTGAACAGATGCCATGTGAGCTGATTGAGAACTTTGACCCAACTTATCCTATTGTGATAGGGGCAATGACAAATGTGGAAGAAAAGCTTGGCTATGTCAATGTAAGTATATTGTATACATGTCTGAATCTAAGTATATTCATTTTGATCTTACTTTTTATACTTTTGTAACTCTTATAGAATAGTAAATGAGATCTCAGTAAAGGATTCCTCCATAGTATCACTCTCTCCATGACTGCAAACTTTTTCTTATAGTGACATTCTTTTTCTAGTCTGCAGCCTGCACTCATCTCTATTACATGTACAGGCCGACCGGACAGGTTTTTGACAGTAGGCAAGCCGTACGGCCAGACGAAATTGAGGAAACTTTGGTTTATTTTTACTACACACCACAATCGACCTGAAGGTGGACGCACCTCGCGAGCAACATATTCTACACGCTGGATCTAGGTCTAGTCTGGGTGAAACTTCCCATGTGTTTGTGCACCATGGCGCGCAAAACATAAAAATCTACTGGAATGGAAGATCGTTAAATACAAAGCGAAACAAGTCACTCGAGAGCCGTTTCCCTAATTTTTATGCACTGATTCTGAATCTGGTATTGTTTTTTTTTATCTACGACGTGGTTTTCTATAATTTTGAAATTAGTTCTTGTCCCAGGGGCAGTAAACTTCAAAGGCCGGATGACGGGACGTCAAATTCACAGGCAGCGGCTTTTGGTTCTTTACATCTGGCCGGCCGGGTGTTCGCCTTCAGTTTGAGCCGCATTTCTTATTACACGTTACGATTGGCCGTACGGTCCAGAAACCTGTCCGGTCGGCCTGTACGTGTAATAGGCCCTTTAAAGTAACATGGTAAATTCTTTTTATTGTGCTGGGTCATTTGTTGTCAAATTTTATTCTCTTGAATTATCATCTTAATTGAATGCTGTTAAGAATTTCAGATATCAGGAAGGTTTTTCTATTTTTTTACTTAATTTATGCTGTAAAAGTTGCCATTTTAAAGAGAATATTTTGGTTCATTTTCAGGTTCGCATTAAGAAACACAGATGGTACAAGAAGATTTTGAAGTCTCGGAATCCTTTAATTTTGTCGATGGGGTGGCGTCGTTTCCAGACAATACCATATTACTACAAACTGGAGGACAACATGAGGCGGCGAATGCTCAAATACACACCTGAACACATTCATTGCCACTCTACATTTTGGGGTAAGTTTTGTTCTTTTGGTTGGATTGTAAATGGTGACTACTTCGCTTCTACCTATGTCACCATAAACAAATTACATTTTTAAGAACAACACAACAGTTACACTGTACAGCTATCCATTACAATGTGTGGCTCTGGGTCTTAATGTGAAGACCCTTAAGCTGCCACACAGGTTTAACAACTTTGTCATTGTATGTTTGTCTTACAAAGCATCCATGTTTAAGACTGAAAGTCCCCCCTCAAATGACACCACATTTTGAGTACATAGAAAGTATCATGACTGTATATTGTACAACTTTAGAAGATCTTTTCAGTTTATCTTCATTTTGTCTGTCTGGGCAAATTTTAGTGTTCATGTATGTATGTTTCTTTCTTGTTCTCCTTCTCAGTCTATTTTTAAAAAACTTTTACCTGTACTAGTGCACAACTTTACTTTTGATGTATCTTCATGAATAGATTGGCATCTTGTAATTGTTTCATTTAATTGTATGATCCTTACAGGTCCCATTACTCCACAAGGCACTGGATTTCTAGCAGTGGAGTCTGTATCCAACAAAACGGTAAGTGATATACGGTCAAACCTGTGTAAGACGGCCACTCATTGTCAAGGAGAAAAGTGACCGTATAAGACATGTGGCCGTTTTAGGCAGGACTGATCAAGATGAAGAAAACAAACCATTCCCATCTGAAGTCCCAATCAAAAGTAGCTGCATTATTGTTTTTTTGTTGTTGTTTTGTATTTTGTTTGTTATTTTTATTTTGTTGCTGATTTTTCGCAAGGGTGACAATAATACAAAATGTATAAGACGGGGAAGACTGAGTCCCGCCCACGTTAAAACTAACACATGGGTTGCCACCACTCGGAGAACAAGCGACGCTTCTGTCGCAAGTTCATGTTGACGTCTATTGTTACTTTGTTACAGACTGGGTAAACAGTGACCACTTATCTCACTTACGATTTGTGTATGACTTCTGGGCGGGGCTTATGGGTTTATGAGGGATTACACACTTATCTCACCAGCAGCTGAAAATTGGTACCTATTGGTCAACAGTGGGAGGGGCCTACGCAACATGATCGGTTGGAGGGACTGACTACCTAACAACAATGACTAGTGATTGGATTATGACGGCTCGCTCACAACGCCAGGGGCCAATGCACAATTTATGACAAAACGTAATAGAGTCACTAAGGTGGCCGTCTAAGACAGGTGTTATTGCTTAGTGTGATAGGGGTTGTGTGTTAAAATATGGTGGCCGCGTTGGACAGGTGCCCGTTTTACACAGTTAAATTATATAGAAAAAACGCAAGGGGGGAAATGAAAATGGCCATTTGTACAGGTGACAGTCTTATAGAGGTGGCCGTTAGGGCAGGTTCGACTGTAGTAAACTACGACTGATTACGGTCTTTTGTATCATAACAATAATAGTAAATTAAACATACTTATTAATTTTTTTTGGGTTCTTTTTTCAAAACAGCAGTTTTGTGCCATCAAGGGCATGTGTAGTTTTAGGGTGCTTTTGTAAGAGGTATGTTGTAAAAAATACACAATTTTCTGTATACATGTTAAAGAACATTTATGTGGACTTGTGTAAAAGTTATTTGAACTTCTCATTCTTTTGTGCATGATGTCACAGTGACACAAATGTGGCCCCATGGACGGTGGATGTACAGACTAGGTCAAGTAAGGTAGGGGGTGATACCAGAAATTTGAGTAATTTTTTGACATGCTAGTTTCTTTATCATAATCTGCATGCTTACTAATTAATATCACACAGTTGTGCTCATGATATGACAGAACACGGGAGAATGTGATTGGTTTGAGTATGTTCCAAGAATGCGTGGAGTTCTCTTTGTACCGCCTTCTCATTGTGTGATTTAACATATTTTTGTGTGTATGATATGTTAAATCACACTCATATTCTCTATCTTCACCCACAGGCCAATTTCCGGATCGCTGCCACAGGTGTAGTACTGGAGCTGGACCAGTCAGTTGAAGTGGAGAAAAAGCTAAAACTTGTTGGCAACCCTCTCAAAGTGTACAAAAAATCTGCTTTCATAAAGGTGTGTTAAGTGCCATTTTTGTTGCTAAGGACATTGTGATTAGGGGGATGGACATCTTTGGCAAAACGGTTAGGCACTTTGTCAGCGCGTGCAGAAGACTCAAGTTTGATTCCTTTGTAGGGAAATTTTTTATGAAGTATCTCATTCTTTCTGCTGGGACGTTGTTTCCCACTCAGCTCAGGTTGGCCTAGACTGGCAGGATGGAAGCCCACCTCCTAAATGATCTTAAGTCTGTCAATGGGAGCATAAAATTTTAAAATTTAATTTTTGGGGAGTGGGTGATTACAAATAGGGGTGGGGGATGTTTATGGTTAGCCTTCTGACAATTGATAGTCGATGAGATTTTGATAACTTTCTTCTATCATTTTACTTTTTTCTGTTGTACATTACCAGTTGATGCTCTTTCCTTTAAAAAAAAAAAATAGACTCTTTATTTCCACATTCGGGCACCTAACCATCTTGTTTTACTTTAGTTTCCCATGATTTATAATTTGATTTTTATTTATGAAACCATATTTTTCTTGTTTCTTTTTAGGACATGTTTACTTCCAATTTAGAGGTGGCCAAATTTCAAGGTGCTAAGTTACAGACAGTGAGTGGGCTACGAGGGCAGGTGAAGAAGGCGCTCCATGCCCCACCAGGAGCGTTCAGAGCAACTTTTGAAGACAGGATAAAAATGAGTGGTGAGCTCTTGGCACTAAACTTTATGTATGCGCAAACTGTTGGAAATGTTCTAACTTTAGTTCAATCGGGGTGTCCGGCCTGTCACTCTCACTCTCAGCCTTGCGGTCGGGCCCTAGATCTAAATTCTAGATTTTCTATGTCTGGTCAATCCGAATTGCCCCAAACTCTTGCTACGTTTTCATCAAAATCTGAGTCATCTGATTTGCCATATGCTCGTTTTAGCTCAAATCCATCGTTATTTCCTTTTTCGAACTCAATTGTGTCGGTTTTCAACAAGTTGAGACACTTTCGAAGTGTCGGTAACGCGATGGCACTTCGTTCGGCTCTAATACTAAAACTACTGCCCCGAAAAATTTCGTTTCGGTATCAAACGAAAGAAGAAACTTTTTGCAATAACTATGCAAATCAAAATCTCGGCCCCAGTATCTCGCCAAGGCGAGATTTTGTTTCTAAAGATGCTGGGTTGGCGCAGGAGATTCCGGGCGAGTCAGGGTGGAGCGCGTAAAGGAATTCCCGGCCGAGTTAGGGTGTAATGTGTTAACCATTTCGTACCCAGGGGGTGTGCGTTCCTACTGTCAGCACTGATTTTCAGCTGAGCTCGTTACCCAGGACAGCAGCCTAATGTCCTAATGGGCGCACGGTCTATATCTAGCACACTCATGACATATTTTGGACACCGGGTCTTTGTGTCACTTTTCTCTCTTTTCTTATTCCCCATTTCCTCCCATCTTACTCATAATTTCGAATAACCTGCAAATCTTGAATTTATTTGCCTTTTTAAAGTAATTTCGATGTTTACGTTTTATGAGAGCATGCGGCGCCCGCAAGCCGAGAGATCTGTGTATATCGATTGCTTGCAAGCTTAGCAGTAAAGTAATATCCAAGACGGAATAAGACAAGACGGGACAACTCTTCTTTACGTCATGTGACAAGCGCAGGCCCCTCCCACTTTTGCTGCTGCGCGTATAACTCGCTGGACTGGCGATAGTTTACATTGGTTACAATGCAAGGCTACTGATCATCTCGGGCGGTATGTCTAGCCAAGGCCTACTAAAATTAATATATTTTAGCCCAGAGAGAGAGAGAGAGAGAGAGTATTTAATGAATAAACATAGCCTATCTAGAATCTAGATCTAGAGAGTCTAAATTTTGTTGTGCACCCAGCCAAGAGTGTGCAGTTCGGAAAGTAGATCTAGATCTAGATCTAGGCCCCTAAGTGGTTGGCGAATGACCGAAGGGCGACTCTTGACTAGCGGTATGTCTGTGAATTGGCAGAGACACTCTAGATCTATATCATGCAACTTGATTCATACTATCATATCAACAGTAGATAGATTTACTTAAGCTTCTGTGCTTATTTCAATGGCTTCTTTTTCGGTGCACCTGTACTATTGTGGTCCCATTTAATGTTTACATGACAGCCATTATTGTCATGTGGGAGTAAATCTAGATCTAGATATCTCTAGATTCTATCTAGATCTAGATCGCCAAGATAATCTATTTCTAGATCTAGATAGCTAGATCTATCTAGATTTAAATCTTGATTAGATCTATAATTTTAATTCAGTTTAGATCTAGATCTAGATTTAGATTCTAGATATCTGTAATCTAGGCCTAAATCTAAATAAGAAACACGTAAAAATAAGCAAACAGGACCGCTATTGTGCAGGAGTGCCATTGTTTCCTAGCTTCAGTTCATGATCAATAGATCATTGATTCTGACATTGGGGAACAGCTCACTGAGTAGTTAATCTAGATCTAGATCTAGTCAACAGTTAGGCTGCTGGACTCTAGCAGTGGCCGTATCTTTAGTTTAAAAAATATCCAATCTATTGTATATTCTGTTAGACAACAATTCATTGCAGAGCACCACTGGCTGTTCTGTCATTTTTAAACTGTAAGATTTAATCTACTTCTATGTTTCGAAAACTCCTAGATCTACATCATCATGTCACTGAACATGTTCAACCCGCTTAATACCGCTTTCCGTTCATAAAAACATTAAATTTCTCAACTCACGAGATCTAGATCTATATTCAAAATATAATGTGAACAAAAACCAGTCAAAATAAATACCAAACAGTTTATATGAAAAAAACCCAAGGCAAAACTGGCATTATGAAATTCAAAGTAGGCAGCTATTTCAGCGAGTTGAACAGTGTGCTCTTTCTTCCTATTGTTTGTTTACGTTTTAAACGTGCAGCTAGCTGGTTACCAAGGGGAGTCAGTTGGAACGAAAATGAGGCTGTTGTCCCGTCTTGTCTTATTCAGTCTTGGGTAATATTAGCAAATTTGGTACTGATATGCGCATCTTTTATTCCTGAATACAAATCCACGCAGCCCTTGTGGCTTGAACTCTGTACAGAAGAATTAGAGCCAGGTTATTAGCATGACGTACATGTAATTTCATAGAGGCAAGCGGGAGCGTCAAATCTTGCCAACTTCCATGATGTACCAGGTACGTCATAAGGCAACAGTACCTGGCATCTATAAACAAAGAGAGGTTACTTTTTATATGGATAATAATGTGCTTGTATGTTTGTTGTTGTTTTTTTTGGGGGGGAGGGGTGTATTGTTCAATTTCCAACTATTGAGGAAATTTGAAGGTCAGAAAGCAAATCATTCTGTGTTAATAAAGACTGTTTCTTGCATAGCTGCCACTTTCCCGCTAAATAGCGGAAACTCCACTACATCTAGCTTTCCCCGCAACTTTCCTCCTTCCTCCGCTGGACCGCTCTTGGTCGCAAATTTCGTTGTTTTTTTTTTCCACGCGGAAAACACCGAACCGGGAGAGAGACGAAAACGCGGTCTGCGCATGTCCGCCCGTAGCTTTCTACTTCCGTTCTTCTAGGCCCAGCGCTAGTTTCACATTGTTTATTGTTGTGGAGCAACACAGTGTCGATCGGGCATCGGGACGTTAGCGCGCCGAGTTGTCATTGAAATTGGCGGAAATTCGAGAGAAATTGATTCAGAATGCAAAAATAAAAGGAGCTGGAATGAGAAAGAAGCAGCCGGTGTGCGACTTGAAAAGTTCATTAGAAAATTGAACTAGCTGTTTTTTGCGAAAGAAATCGCGGCCAGCGGCACTCCTGTTACAGTCCTGTACAATTGCGGTCCCGTTTGTTTACATGACGGCTATTGTGGCTGCTGCGGAAGTGAATCTAGATCTAGATTTAGATCTAGAAAATCTATCTCTAGATATAATCTAGATCTACACATATTTAGATATATCTAGATCTAGATTAGATAGCCTATGCTATAATTTTAATTCAGGTTATCTCTAAATAAGAAACACACTACAGGGGCACTAAGTGCAAACGGGACCGCAATTGTACAGGAGTGCCTGTGTATCCTTGATCCGATACTGCTCTACGTCTATGTATGTACACGTTTAAAGTGAAAGAAATCTTTTTATGAGACACCAGCTGGCAAAAAACACTAGATTTTTAGTCACCAAGTCCAAACTGTGTCAAATTGACTCGAATGCTTGTTAGTCAACTTACTGCCTTTATGTTGTTTTTTTTTGTTGTTGTTTTTTTCAAATACATTTTAATTCAGTTGCCTATGGTTAACAATATGACAGTTTTCCCTTCCAAAACCGTAGGCTAGATTTTCCAGTATATATTGCCTCTGGATCTCACTGGTTTTGGAGAGCGCGCGTACGCTTTTGCGTGAATTTCCTCCTTTTTAAAAATTTCTGAGTGGCAGCTATGTTCTTGTGCTATGAATTTACTGAAGAAATTCTAATAATCTCAATTTATTTTTGAAATTCAGATATTGTTTTCCTGAAAGCATGGGTGAAGATTGACATTCCCAAATTCATCATGCCTGTGACGTCGCTGCTGCTAGGGGCATCGGACAAGCAAGCCTGGCTGGGAATGAGAACTATTGGTCAGTTGAGACATGAAAGAGGTCTTCCGGTTCCCCAGCGAGAAGATTCATTGTATAAGGTATGTGCACCCATAACCCTACTTTGTGCACTAAATTAAACCTCGCCCCTTGGAGAAAAAAAAGTACATTGATATTTTACTTGTAAATTTGTTTCAAATGTTTGAGAATCAATTTTAAAATTGGCTTTAGTCCAATAACCTGTTCATTCTGTTTCAATGAGCCCTATACTTTTGTGGACTAAGGAGGGGGGATTGTAAGTTATTGTTCTTGGTTTTATTACTAACAAATGCTATGTTGTCTTTTTATTAGCAACATTTTTTTCTTCAAAAATTGTTCAGATTTGTTGAATAGCTCGTATCGCAAAGTTACTTGGCCATGATTTCACATGCATCTCAGAATGAGTTGGACAGGTTAAAAAAGAGACATGACATCACTCAAACAGCTGTGTGCAGCAAATCCGTTACAGTGATTTATTTCTCGACAATTGTGCAGTCACAGTAATTTTTCTTGATTTTCTTCAATGTCTCTCTAATTTTTCGTTTTCTTGGACAACCAAAATTATGGATGCGTCAAGCACATTAGTCAATTCCTGACGTGTTTGAGCTATCCATGCCCGATGCTATGTATCTTTTATTTTTCACACATCATTGATTATTAGGAATTGTTGAGACAGTTTTGTTGTAGAAAGTGTTGCCAACTAACATTCTTACTTGCAGCTATATATGGAGTTATAGAAGGAGTGCATCTATTTCATTTCAGCCCATTGTGAGGTCTGAACGAGTGAGAAAGCCATTGGTGATCCCCAAGGACTTGAAGATGCGATTGCCTTTCAAGGACACACCGAAAGATCTTCCTGAAGCCAAAAAACCAAAACGTGTTGCGGTAGTGATGGAGCCTCATGAAGCAAAGGTAATTGTTTATTCCGTTTTGTTTGTCGGAAACCTCAATAGAGGAAAACGGATAATGAAATGCTTATTTTATAACACTGTGTTATGAGGAATCCCTTACGGTGTACATTTATACTGCAGTTTCCTTAAGGGGTTGGAGGATGGCCGTAGCTGGTCTTATTTCTATCCTTTTGCTTTGCTGTTTCTGTCTGCTTTTTCCATGCTCTAAGTGGACATCATTGTATTGATGAGCTTTTCTTTACTCAAACAATGGTTTCTGCTATACAGTCAAAACTGTCCAAGACAGCCACCCTTTGTCGAGAAGAAAAGAGGTTTTCTTAGGTGGTTGTTATGGAAAGTGTCATAATAATATAGAAAAATTGCAAGTGGAGGAAGCTGTCATTTGTTCAGGTGATTGCCTGGGATGTATATGGCAGTTAAAGCAGGTTTGACCGTATTTGGATAGTGCTTGAGAATAGTGACAAAACCAGTGCCTCTAGGGTACACGAACCTACAGGAATAAGGGTTCTTTTTTTTTTTTTTTTTTTTTGCACTTGATTCATTTTGCAAATTGTTCAATTCAAATAATAGATTACTCTGTACTTGAATATTAGTGCAGCACACACGGGCAGAGATTTGATTGCTTGAAAACTAGGAAAGGTTTCCATGTACCCCCCAAAAAAGTTTTATGTATCTTTCTCTGTAATTTAGATTCTCCCCCCCCCCCCCCCCTACAATTTTAAGGTTTTAATTTTTCTCTTCTCTTTTGTGTATCATCAGGTTGCAAATTTCCTGAAGAGGGTGAAAGCTGTTCATAAAGAAAAAGCCGTCAGGACCCATCATGAAATGAGGAAGAGAGCTCAGGCACATCAGAAAAGGAAGCAAGCAGAGGAAGCTTTGAGACAGGAGAAACTGAAAGGGGCAAAGAAAAGACTGCATAAAATTCTTGGGGAGATGAAGAAAAAAAAGGATAGTGGTTCTGGTCACTTCTAAGAAGTTAGAATCAGCCAAATCAATAGATGTGTTATGACGCGATGGTATCAGGCGCTCGTCAATTTTTAGCATATAAAGTTATCAGTATTATCTTAAACTTTGTTCATTTGTCTTGCATTTGTCCAAAAAAAAAATTTTTTAAATACCCATCTATCCTGAAGAGAAGTCAAACATTTGGAATTGAAGGATGTAGAGGTCGCCAGGTGTCAGAGGTAAAATAAGTGAGAAAATGGCCGCTAAAGTTTGGTGACTTCCAAAGCTTGAGTGTCCTTGGAAACTGCAAATTTACTTTTTCTATGCCTTTTGATCAAAGTTTTTCAGTAAAACCCTCACATAAATGTGTTCTTAAATGTATATAGAATGATTTAACAACAAAAGAAAGAAGAAAGTTCGAAAAAAATTTCCCAACGGCCAGAAAAATATTGATTTCCTTTATTATATTATTTTGACGAGCGGCTGATTTCACCATGCCACCTCACAAATCAATTTTGAATGGTCAATCTGGATCATCGGCTGTTTTGTGTGATGACTCAGGCTAACACATCAGCAGAGAGTTTCTCTCTTCAGTCAGTTTTCTTTTTCAGAGACTGAAGTAATTACTTGTTTACATCATTTTGAAGACACATTGTTGGCAGGTAAGCAGTTCTAGTACTTCTACAGTTTTAGGTGTTTGAAAATAGTTTGATCAGGCTGAAGCAGCATCAGCAGACCCACCCAGTGTCTGTGTTCACGGGTGTCGGTATTTATGTTTTGTGCTTCCTCTTGGCCCGTAGGTTCACAAAGACGTACTTTGATTCTTTTGAGTGTTTCTTTGTTTCAAATGTTCAATTTGGGTTTCTTGTTAGTAAGTCAAAATTTTAACATGGATTTATGGTTTATAGGTGAAAAAATCTCTTTTTGGGGTTCGCATTTTGTCTGCTTTAGTGCTACTGTAGCAAGCCATTTCTGCTGGAAAACCGTTTTTGTTTGTATTTAGTCGTCACAGATCGTCACATTTGTTTTCACTGTGATATCTTGCTGCCCTGGGCAGTGGGCATTTGGTTGTAGTTTATAGAAAGTGTCTGTGTGTCTGCCTAGAAGTTTATGCAATCATCTTTATGGAAGTACAGAACTGGTAGATGAGAACTGTGGCAGTACACTAAAGGGGCCTGGTAAGTGTGCCATGAAACCATGAAAGAAGCAAAAAGTATTTGTGTGTGTGAGTGGAATAGAGAGAGAGAAGGAGCTGTGTGTTTGGAAAGATTGCACATGCGTAAGAAATATAAAAAATAGCCTTTGTAAATTGTTTGACTGTACTTGTATTATTTACATGTATGTGTAATAAAGAGTGAGTCACTGTTTCTGCTGAGTGGATTTGTCATTTTATGAGAAATTCAAAGTTGTGTCCATGTCATCGCCTCTATCTGGGTTTTTCCAGGAAAACTGGTGTTTATGTGTGTATGTGCACACCTTTTAAGTCAAATGTTATCTCAAATCAGTTAAATGTTGGTCTTTGCGGGTTTTAAAAAATGAGTTACTCCGCTACTGACAAATGATGTCTTAATCAAAAAGCTGTGGTTACTCAAGTCTCAGGATAACAATTTGATTTTTTAAAATGTCTGGTAAGAGACTTGAATATGGTACACCTGTTAATGAAAATGAGAAAAGTTACAAAACCAGCTACTGCTATCTGATTAAAAACATAACTTTGTCAAGTTATTAGGTCAAGATGCATCATTCATGCATTTATTTGCTTCTCCCATACAAAGAAATCTCCCTATTTTATTTAGCTGAGTGTCTATGATAAGAAACTCTCTTGGTGTAAGCTATGGTGTTGCTTCCTATTCTATTTTTCTGTACAACAATGTACAGCTGACTCCACTAGTGTAGACCTACTTGAGTTGATCTCCAGGCTTCAATTGATCTTTTTTAGGGGGTCCTAGCACTTTTTCCTAACAGGTTGCAACGGTTGAGTTGAACTTCAAATGAGTTGATATTTTTTTCACTCCCCGAAGACATCAACTCATTCTTAATCAACTGTTTTTCCCTTGACATGAAGAAATGATACCTTAATAAGTGTTGCTTTAATTTGCTGCTCAGCTGATATAGGATTGGGAAAGTGGACATGTGTGTGGACTTGTAGGATTTGAATCTTGTTAATTTTCTAGAAAGGACTTTCCCAGCTCTTTGTCCTAGGGTGTCAGATACTGTATGGTATGTGCATCTATCTATACCTGCTCCCTTGACTCATTGTTTGGGTGAGTTGCTGTGATTGAACACAGATTAGGCACATAAACAGAGCCTCATGTTCTATGTTGCATTAGTGTGAGCAATGTGCAGAAGTGCAACATGTACTTGTAAGTCACTTGTATACCTTGCGTTGTTTTCATATCTTTGAGTTAAGATTTTCACCCTGCTTGATACAATGTAGACTGAGAAATATGGTAATGTCCGTCTCCATTTACAATGCTAGAAACAAGCCAACAACTTGCTCTAAGAATTCAAACCATGGATGTTGTCAAGTGTCTTCGCTAGTAGTGTGTGAATAATCCCTGGAAAACCCTTTTTCAGATTTTGTGAATTGAATTCTCGTTAGTGTTGTGTTATGCTTGTGCTATATTTTTTTTTTTAAGAGGCATTTTAATTTACACACAGAATGTGTTTCGAATGAGTGATCATGGCCAAATGTCATCTAGTAAGGTGCAGTTCCAATCAAAGGCACATTTTGTACTTTTTTTACCCTGAAATCGGTTTTCATGGCCCCTTGTTACAACCATTTTCTGTGAGACAAAGTTGGCTGCTTTAAAGGTTCGCCCACTAGAGTTTGTAGTAGCCTACTTGTAGTCAAAGCGGGTTTTCAAAGAGTGGAAAGTAATGGGCGCTCTAACCCAAGTTGTGAGAGGTAAAATGCGCACAGGTGTGGTGAGGTCATGAGTACAATGACGAATAGAAGTGATACGCATGGTGCCAAGTGCCAATTTGACACGATGAGCAAACAAAAATTGATGTTTGTTCCTGTGAGTTAATGAGTAATAGCCAGAGGAGATCTTTGCCCCCC